TTGCTGCTACCGCCATCGGGAGGCAAGCCGCCGGACCATCCCGGCTGGGCTCAGCCTCCCAGGCTTCTAGCGCTGCCACCGCAGGGTTTCCCAGGGTTCTCCGCAAGCGCTGCCTTTCTCCCCCACTGTGCGGCTTCTCCACCGCCATGGGAGGCTTTCCTGGGGCTCACCCCAATCGCCGCCTTTCTCTGCCATCATCCACTGCCGGGCCAGGATTTCCGCGCCACCAACGCAGGCTTTCGGCAGGGTAGACCTGCCCTATCAGGGTAAGGTGCTGCTTTTTAAAAACTCTTTTGGATGGCTTTTGCAGGGTGGGATTGGACTGGTGTTATGTTTGTTTTTTATTTGTTTTGGTTTTTGCAGCCCCAGGGGCTTGCAATGTTTTATTTGTAATTTTTTTGGTGTTTTTTTCTTCAGCCAGAACAGATTAATCGGTTTTCAATGCATTCCTATGGGAATGGTGCTTGTACTTATGAATGTTTCAACTTACAGCCACTGTTCCGAAACAGATCAAGCTCGTAAGTAGAGGTACCACTGTATTAGTTCCATATGGCATGTACGTAATATGCTATTTTATCTGGCTATGACCATCCCCAGAACAAAGGCCCATTCGTAATCTTTATTTAGGAATACAGTGGACCCTTGACTTACAGACTTTTCGAGTTACAGACTTCTCTGGCCGCAAAATTTAGATTTGACTTGCAGCCTGAGAATCGACCTACAGACCGGAAAAAAACCAAAATGGAACAAAAACGGAACGAAAATGGCTGGTTACGGATTAATTGGTTTTCAATGCATTGTAGGTCAATGGAGACTCGACCTACAGACTTTTCGACCTGCAGCCACCATTCCAATACAGATTAATTCCGTAAGTAGAGGGTCCACTGTAATGCTTTCCAAAATGTCCCTGTTCAGGATTTCTGACTTCAATACTTGCTATAATATTACTAAGGGCAAGCCAACCTGAGTAGACTCCTATCTAGAAGGGCAGGATATAAATCCAATAATAAATAAAAATAAAAAATAAATAAACCTATTGCAAAATATATACCTAACAGTGTGGCTATCACAGTTATCTAGCTATTAGACATGCTGGCCATTTGTACACCTTTAAGGTATACAACAGACAGTTAGCAAAATGCTATTATACAACTGTGTAAGCACCACAGGACTCTGACCTACCATATTTTTCGCACCATAAGACGCACTTTTCCCCACAAAACGGGGGTGGAAAGTCTGTGCGTCTTATGGAGCGAAGAAAACATTATATTTTCCTGTTTTCTTCTCCTAAAAATTGGTGCGTCTTATGGAAAGGTGCGTCTTATGGAGCGAAAAATATGGATAAGTCTTAGTAGCAATATTCTTACTAGTAGAAATGTTACTATGAAAAACTGCTTAGCAAGAAGTCCCAGTCTCATTCACAATTTCTTGTTCAGCAGTCATTTCCTTCACCTCAGCAGTTCTTGCCACCTATATTGTTTATTTCTACTTATTCTTTTTTGTTTTTTGTTTTCCTTTGAAAAAAAGGAAAACTTATTAATAAAGGGGAAACAGTAAATATAATCCCAGGTCACAAAAAACTGAAGAAAAACTCTTAATGGTTTTACAAACTGAAAAAGTAGTTGTAGAAAGAAATCCCAAGAAAGCAACATTTAATTTTCAGGCAGAGTGGTCCTGAGAAAGCACAATGACGCTTTGTCAATCCAGAGACCAGGCTACTAGCGAAATAGCTTTTTAAAGATAAGACAATCTGCAAGTCAAGTATGAAAAAACAGAGGAACTGGGACTTAGGGCTTGGATTAAATGATGCTGTAGATGGCAATTCTGGTATAAAGGCAAATTATCTCTATTGTTTTAACAGACACAACTGGGTTCTAAGCTACAGGAGGATTCTTAGACCTGGGTATAGCTGTCTTAAAAATAAGTGGAGTACGGTACAGTATACCGTATTTTTCCGTGTATATATAAGACACTACTTTTTCCTAAATTTGTTACACTAAAAATTAAGGGTCGTCTTATACACGGAAGTAAGCTGAGGAGAGAACAAAATGGCCCATACCTTGTCTCTGCAAACAGGCTTCCTTCAGTCAGGAGACTTAGCTGCCTCCTATCATGAGCCTTATGGAAATGACGTCAGCTGATGCTGAACAAACCAATTGGAACACACCTCATTGGAGGTGGCGCCTGTAGGCAGTGATCAGATACAACAGGGACTTGTAATGTCCGAGTACTCTGAGCCCAGAGGCTGAATACTCACTTTTTCTTAATTGTGGGGTTAAAAAATCGGTTTTTTTTCTTATAAACGGAAAAAATACGGTAATTTGTTTTGTCACATACATATATTAATGTTATGTAAGTCTGAAGGCTATCTAATACAAGTTCTTTCATTGAATCAGAATTCAGCTTACCAGGAGACTGGACTTGTGCTTTTAAAAATATAATCCTGTCAGAAGCCCCAAATTCTCCATCTAGAAAATGACTACAGTGTGATTAACCAAAACAACAGTAACATGACTTTTAACATGCTCTCCCTTTTAAAAAGTAGCATACAGTACATGTATCTGCTGTACACATGCACATAGTTTTTAGAACAAATCTGTAAGGCAGGTTCAGAGATACAGTGAACATCCCAAATTCATGCACTGAGTTTCCTGGCTGAGTGAGAATCTGACACTGGTCCTCCCAATTTCTGTTCCCAGAATTACACCACTGTATCACACTACTGCAATCCTTATCTGAGTATCTTTAACCGATCCTGTCTCCTGGGGAGGAAGTGTGTTCTGCTTTAATTAAGTATAGTAGTATGGCAGAGGATTGCCTATTACTGTTCACCTATTGAAGGAACTGGTATATCCACCTAAGCTGTAGGCAAGGATAGTTTGTAGTCCCAGGATGTAAAACCTGTACCATGCAATTTATTTTGGAATAAAGCACATATTACAATTCTTTTTCATTCTGGGACTATAGTCTCCTTGCCTACAGCTACAGGATAAGTTGAGGTGAATACTGCCTGTGCATCATTGACAATGTGTATATTTCCAGAAGACTCAAAACACTGAATTTTAAAATTCTCTGCATCAGAAGTTAGAGCAGGAAATTAGCACAATTGTCAATGTAAGAGCAGAAGCAAAATTAGACTGTGATGATGTGTAGCTCCCTATTTCTTGTTGCATTAGTGGAACAAAAGCTCCAGCCTAAATTGTGGGGGGTGGGATATGTTCACTGGCTATGGAACTCTGACCACTGGGAGTGTAAAAGCAAAAAGACTGTATTATGGGTGAGTGCATGGCTGACTGGAACACAGAATTGCTATTTCTCCATCCTGCTGCTCTGACAATTGGGCTGCGCACTTCTTACCAACTGATAAAGGGCCACTGGTCCAGCTGCCCTGAAAGAAAGCAGTAAGACCATCAATACTGGGGGGCCATGGTGGTATCATTTGGGCTCCCTGTGCCTTATCTATCGGGGGGCGGGGATGACAAGTTGAGATTCTAACTGAGCCAAGGAAGGCAGAGATCGCATCTTGTATACAGATGTGAACAGATGTGAACTAACACTACACAACTGTGTTACAGCTACTTCAAATAACGTGAAGACACCAAGCTACTTCTTGGAGGCATGGTTTTGAACTGTTCCACCTCAGCTGTTTATTGTGATTCACTATGTACAATAGTGATGGCAGAAAGTGAGGAGGAACTAAAGAACCTTGTAATTAGGGTGAAAGAGGAGAGTGCAAAAAAATGGCCTGAAACTCAACATCAAAAAAACTAAGATCATGGCCACTGATCCCATCACCTCCCGGGAAATTGAAGGGGAAGATATGGAGGCAGTGACAGATTTTACTTTCTTGGGCTCCATGATCACTGCAGATGGAGACAGCAGCCACGAAATTAAAAGACGCCTGCTTCTTGGGAGGAAAGCGATGACAAACCTAAACAGCATCTTAAAAAGCAGAGACATCACCTTGCCAACAAAAGTCCGAATAGTCAAAGCTATGGTTTTTCCTGTCATGATGTATGGAAGTGAGAGCTGGACCATAAAGAAAGCAGCCCGCTGAAGAATTGATGCCTTTGAATTGTGATGCTGGAGGAGGATCTTGAGTGTCCCATGGACTGCAAGGATAACAAACCTATCAATTCTAAAGGAAATCAAGCCTGAGTGCTCACTGGAAGGACAGATCCTGAAGCTGAGGCTCCAGTACTTTGGCCATTTAATGAGAAGACTCGACTCCTTGGAAAAGACCTTGATGTTAGGAAAGTGTGAAGGCAAGAGGAGAAGGGGACGACCGAGGATGAGATGGTTGGACAGTGTCTGCGAAGCAACCAACATGAATTTGACACAACTACGGGAGGCAGTGGAAGACAGGAGAGCCTGGCGTGCTCTGGTCCATGGGGTCACAAAGAGTCGGACACGACTAAATGACTAAAGGAGGAGGATGTACAATATTTAAAACCACTGTATTTTCTTGATTTCCTTTCACTTTATTTTTCAGCACTCTCCCCTTTTATGTTTCAGCTTTCTATGTTGTAAGTGATAGGGCAGAGTCTTTTATTCACATATAAGCCACTCAGGCGCTTTTGTAGATGGAAAGCAAGGTATAAATGTTCTAATTAAATTAACAAGCAAATGCTTAGAATGGATAGGTTTGTTCTCCTTACAGTCCAGGGGACTCTCAAGAGCCTCCTCCAGCACCACAATTCAAAAGCATCAATTCTTCGACAGTCAGCCTTCTTTATGGGATAATAGGCATTAAATTTCCAAGTTATGTTTTACCACCACTACGACCACCTCACCCACCCCGCATCAAAATATGCTTCGGGACTAGACCTTTGCTTCCCACAGGACAAAGCTCCGGGACGAGCCGACGACCTCCCGCGTACCATTGCTAGCTAAAATTGATCCTCCTCCTGACATAATTCTACAAATCCCACCATGGAGATATCATGGGCTAGAGTGGCATTACCCCGCTCCACAGAAACTCTTGACCAATGGCAGCCGACGATTCTTACCCTCTCACCTTCAATAGTCACTTCCGGCCGGCGAGTAGGGAGAAGGCCTTGAAGCTTCTTTTCTTTTGCTGCAAAAGACTTGCTTTTGTTTTACTTTTCACAGCAGGTTGGTTTTCTTCCCCTTCGCATTCCATTTTCTCTTTCTTTCGAGCTGAGCTCCTGGGAACTGCACCTAGCGCGAAGGTTTTCCCGCTGCTCCCACCCTCACCTCAATCATCCCAAGATGGTGGACGGCGAGGCACCAACGAGAGAATAGCTAGAGCGACCACCTCTCCGGAGGAGGAAGTGCGGGAAGGAAGCAACGGGCACTGCCCGGAGTGGCGCCCGCGTGACGGTTTGTTCAGCTGGCTCCGGCCGCGTTTGGCGTGTCAGGTCTTCGCCTCCGCCGGGGTCTTCGCCGCCATGGTGAGTCGCTGCGAGCGCGCCAGGTTTGGTTCGTCCGTGGCTCGCGTGACTTCTGCTGCGTGTGTGGACGAGGGCAAGGGAGCTTAGGTCGTCGCGCCTTTTTGCAAAAGAAAAGAAGAAGACGCCGAAGCCGCTGAGGGAGATTAGTAGGCAGGGAGCCGGGAAGGCGGCGGCCGGGACCCGTTGTCCGGGACGGAGAGAATCCCCTCGGAGTTGTAGCCTGAACTTGACAAGAACCTTCCATGGTGCTGAGCCTTTTTGTGGAGATCGGGCCTGGCACCTTTGATAGCTCTTGAAAAAGTTCTGACTAAAACTCACAGTGGGCTCGCTGTCCCTGCTAAACGGGAACTGCAAGGCACTGCTGGGCAGAAGGGAGTTTTGACGGATTTTTCTCCCAAGACCCCCAGCACAGGCAGCGTCCCTGCTTCGGGTACTGCCACACATCGCACGTACACCTTCCTGTTTGGCAGCCCCTGCCACTGCCAGACACAACTACTAACCAACTGAGACCAAACAGGGATCATTTGTTACCTGCTCCTAGAACTGAGCACCGGCTCCTGGGCCGTCTCTGAGAGCAGCTTAAGCTGGTCGTACTTTCTTCAAATCTCTACACATGGTCAGGCTCTAGTACTGTACTACTTGCTGGACTGGCACCACCCCCTTCAGTCTGTGGTGTGTGGCTTTAATCAGTTGTTTGTTCTGCTCCTTTTGTGTTCTTATTTTGACTGGGTTGTGGATTTTTGCCTCTGAAGTTTTAATTCAGCCTGAGAACACGTATATGTTAAAAGTAATAATAATTATGCACTTTCAAATAAATTCAGAGTTATGGCAACCCTTTGCAGGCTTTCCTAGGTACGAAAGCCCTCAGAAATGGTTTACCATTTCCTCCTCCTCTTCTAGGGGCACCCTGAGAATCTATAGTTTCCCCAAGCCCCACAGGCTGGTTCTCCTCCTGGGATGTCTAGCAGGGAATCAAACTCCCAACCTCTGGCTGCCTCCAATACCTGTCTAGCAGTACATATTGAAAGTACAGGACAGACGCTGTAGGCTTGCAGTGGACAAGACATGCAACATGTGATGACTTCATTTGCTGTGAGGTCTACAGAGGAGAATTGTGACATTCAATCACTTTTTTGCCACAACTGAATTAAACCTAACTGGGCCCTTTTTTAAAGATTCAGTACATATTAGGTAATAGGCCCTTAAGTAAATTTTGTAACAGCTGTATTTCTTGAGCATTACACTCCAATCTGGCATGATAGCAGGATGCAAAAGCTACTAAATCAAGTATGTTAATGCTATCTCTCAATGCCATTGTTTACCATAACAGCAAAATGATAGTTAACATCCAGCTCTGAACATATTGTTGCACATGCTAATATCTAGCTTCAACCAACAATATCAGCAGTACTACTGTCATTAAAATCTATAGGAATCTGGCTTGAGAAATGTGCAGAATACACCTCTTTGTAGTGGCTGTTACAGGAGGAAGTACTGTAGTGCTTTTGCTATCATGAGGACATATCCTTCAAGTACAACTCATATTTAAGTAGGCAGCATGCTATCAATTTGGGAGCAATTTCAAGTAACTATTTTTATCTTGCAGCCACACAGACGGAAGAAGCCCTTCATAGAGAAGAAAAAGGCTGTAACATTTCATTTAGTACACAGAAGCCAAAGGGATCCTTTGACAGCTGATGACACTGCACCACAGAGAGTTCTTTTGCCTGCACAGAAGGTGATGATGAAAGACAATTTTCTGGGAAAGTAGCTGACTTCTCCATTTTTATTGAGATGTGAACCTCCTACTGTTCAGCTTCATTGGTGGACCCCAAATCGTAGTGTTACAAGAACAATGGTTAAAACCAACTCCCAATCCCTTTTATTCACATCATAGATAACTTTAAAGCATGTATTCCCTTACTCAAAGAAATTGAACTGCAGTCTTATACTCAGTTACTGGGAGTAAGATTTGTAATGGAGTTATAACTATTTAACCTAGTGAGGCTTACGATTGAGTAGATATGCATAGAATTATACTACTATGTCTATATTAGTATTAGTTGTTTTTAAAAGGGAATTAGAAAAATTCATGGAGAATTAGAGTACAGTGCCTGTGTATGAGGCATTGTGGATGAGAGGAGAATCTGAAAACCTTTTGCTGGAAATGGTGGAAAAGGGACTAGGTAAAAGCAAATATTATGCAGTGTGTAACTAACCCTGTGTAGTTTATTACCATAAGATGTAAAGGTAAAGGTTCCCCTTGACATTTAGTCCAGTCGTGTCTGACTCTAGGGGACGGTGCTCATCCCCGTTTCCAAGCTGTAGAGCCAGCATTTGTCCAAAGGCAGTTTCTGCGGTCGCGTGGCCAGCACGACTAGACACAGAACGCTGTTACCTTCCCACCATGGTGGTACCTATTTATCTACTCGCAATTTTTACATGCTTTCGAACTGCTAGATTGGCAGGAGCTGGGACAAGCGACAGGAGCTCACTCCATCACATGGATTTGATCTTATGACTGCTGGTCTTCTGACCTTACAGCACAGAGGCTTCTATGGTTTAACCCACAGCACCACCACACCATAATATCTAGTGATAGCCAAAACTCAAGAGATTAGATGTATTCATGGAGGAAAAAGCTGTCAATGGCTACTACTTATGTTGACTATGTATCAGCTCCAGCATGATGTTTCATTTTATCTGTTGTTGAGGTACATAAGTGAAAGGGACCTATTAGCCTCATTTCCTGTGCAGGAGCTTCCAAGTGGTACCAGACTGACTACTGTTGGAAATTGAAGGATGGGTTTGACAGGCTTTTGATCTGAGTTCACGGGGTCTTACATTCTATCTTGAAATTCATCTGCGGGTATATTGCCATCATCACAAAACTATTTGTTCCTGTAACCCAGCTTGCCTTTTTTTAATCCAGAAAAACGTCCTTTATATATACGTTTATTTGAAAAGGAGTGACATCAAATTTGGTAACTTCCTTGCCCCATTCTGTTTAGGGAGATGAAGAAAAAAGAAGAGAAGAACAGAGAAAATATGGAGTATTCTTTGATGATGACTATGACTACTTGCAACATCTCAAAGAAGCTTCTGGACCTTCTGAGCTTATTCCATCAAACATACCAAATCGGCAAGGCAGGATTTTAGTGACTGCAGACGGAGAGGTAGAAGAGGAAATTCAGCATATTCCAGTAAGTACCAGGTACACTTGAATACTTGTGATAATCACTGTAATTCTATTAATTAAATGTTTCTGGTGTGGATGTTACAACACAAACAATTTTTTAAAAGGATAGGATTGACATTTTTAATAAAATCAAGTTTCCTGAAAATGTGTAAGGTAAGAAGCGTCTGTTGACCTTATGGTATAATGGGCTTCTGGACTTAATTTCATCCACGAGTGTTGTAAAAAGAAGTACGTACTAGAAGTTATTGATAACACAATAGAAAAGGTTCTTCTCTTTATTCTGTGTTAACACATTGCAATCGGAACCAACGGGCCTGGAAACTATTGCTGTGGGGGCACGGAAGAGGAGGAGTGCTATGTGGAGGGGGCAGAGTCACATGCAGTTGCGCACCTCAGAGGGAACTGTGCTGGCATATATGTGGGACATCTAGAAGTGTAAAGGGAAGGTTGTCACTAAATCACTAATCAGTGGATAAGTTGTGTGGTGATGATAGGACACACTACTACAACATCATAATATGTTAAGAAGCTAAGTGCCTCTTAACACATTGACTTTGATACTACCAGAACAACTTTTTTAGACATATACCTGATAATTTTTCTAGGATTTATTTCTCAGCAGATCTCAAGATTCCCATGGTCCTTGACAGTTATGCTCAATAGAAGTTTATATTGAATAGATTATTGAAGACATTATTCTGTTGTAAAAAAGAAACGTAACATGCTAGTCTTCAGTTGATATCCAATTTTAACCCTATGGAAAACTAGCTGTACCATTCACATGGATTTATATTGAAAGAATATATCTGAGGGTTAATGGCAAGTATCCTGTTGCCTAAACATAGAGTGGAGGAAAAATTCTGTAAGCAATCCCCTACTCCCACAATTTTCTGTTTTCTGACGAGTTTGTGATTGATCTTGCAACCAGTGTGAAAGTAGGCATGAGGACAGATGTGTAATAGATATATCAATGGGATGATTGGAAGGTAAAATTAAACATATCAAGAAGTATTTTTGCAGAAGAAAACTTAAAACTGGTTAAATCTGATACAACTGGAACAATAGTTGAAAGTAGGAGAAAAAAATAAACTAAAGGAAAGGCAATTGACAGACTTTGAACATACAGTATTAAGAACATGGAGAACGAGGCAAATGGAAAAAAGGGGAAAGGGAGAATTGGTAATATCTATAGAATATTGACAGAAAAGGTAGATCAGTTAGGAGGGTCAAAAATAATATGGGAGGCAGTTTTAGGAAAAATAGAGGAATGGAAAAATGTATGGAACAGAAGGGTTTTTAAAAACATGTCAGTTAGAATAAAAGAGAATGGTTATAAAACAATGCAGATATGATATTAAACATTGATAAAATTAAACAAAATAGATTCTAAATATTCCAAGATGTGTTGGAGATACAATAAAGAACTAGGTATGTATCTGCACTAATGGTGGGAATGTGAATACAAAGAGTTTGGAAGGAAGTTTTCAAAGAAATTAGAGAAATATTAGAAGTCAACATTGAAGCATCATCAAGAACAGCATTATTGTTAACAGATAATCACAACCTAAATAATATCTGCTCAATTACTTATAGCAAAAAATGGAAGAAGAACTGGATTTTTCAACCACATGAATGGTATAATGAAATCTGGAATACTGCAATTAATGATAAACTGACATCTGAAATTAAGTTTTAAAAAGGAGTGATAAAAATTAATTTAATGAGATATGGGGTGACTTTATAAATGGCGTGTTGAATAAAGGAAAAGGGCAAAAGCCAGGTCAAGAATGTGTGTATTTTTGGAAGGGATAAGGGTTTTGTTTTTTGTTTTTTCAAGATGAAGGAAATGTAAAATATATCTGTGTATTGTATTAATAGATGGTCCCTGGGATGAGGGATGCACTATCGTTTTGCTTTGTTCGGGGGAGGGGTTGTATGTAAACAAATTAAATTTAACAAATAATAATTAAAAAAGAACAAATGTGTAACAAGGAACCTGGTCAAGTTGTCTCCCTTCTGTTCCAGAGGGAAATACAGTTTCTCTTCTGTTTCACATTTAGATGACTGGATACTAACCATTTTCTTATTCTTTTCTTTTGTAGGCCCCTACAATTAACTTGCCCTCATCAGTGTTTGCATCAGAATTTGAAGAGGACGTGGGACTTTTAAACAAAGCTGCTCCAATTTCAGGTATGGTACTATAGACCCTCGACCTACAGACTTTTTGACCTGCGGCCACTTTTCCAATATGGATTAATTCCTTAGGCTGCGGGTCCACGGTGCTTAACTTACTTTTTTATGTCCTTAGGTCCCAGGCTGGATTTTGACCCTGATATTGTTGCAGCCCTTGACGATGACTTCGATTTTGACAATCCAGATAACCTTCTTGAAGACGACTTCATTTTAAGGGCGAATAAACCAGAAAGCATAGAGCATGGAAAAGAAGCTTGTTGGTAATGGAATGGAAAATATTCTACTTTAATTTTTGTTTTGTTTTCACTTTCTTTGTTAATAGAGCCAAATGGTCCCAATACCACCAGCCCATGAAATATTCTAACTACTTTTCAAATATATTTTTTCAGACTTTAAAAAATCAATATCCTATTCTCAGCTTCAGTTATAGGGAAACTAATGGCTATGATGTTAGCCGTTGCAGTTATTTATTTCTGGCATTTTTATAGTACCCCATTTAGTGAAAATCCTTTACTCTGGATGGTTTTAAAGCACAACATAAACCCAACCCATCCCCACCCTCAAACCATGAAAATTAACACATAATAAAAAGAAATAAACAAGCAGGCAATCTGATAACATTTCAGGCAAATAAATAGACAACAGAGTAAAATAAACTAAATGGTGGCAACAGTCTACAGCGCAAAGGTGAGATATGGGTCACATATCTATCTCAGGTGGAGGATGTCCTTGAAGGCTTTTTTTAAAAGGTTTATTTGTTTATTTATGTATTTAAAACATTTCTATGTTGCCTTTCTCCCCAAAAGGACTCAAGGTGGCTCAAGTTCAGTTTTGAGTTTCTTAAAGGTCTAGAGGGAGAAGGCCTACTGGACTTCCAAAGGGAGACCATTCCAGAGTACCAAAGCCACCACTGGGAAGGCCGGATTCATAATGGAATCCCTCCTAAGCTCTCTCTGCGTGCCCCCCTACCTTACAACAACACGGCCTGCAAGAACCAGATTAAATGGGCAGCAGTTCTTTGGGAAAAACACTCCGACAGTTGATATTATTTCTAATAGTAACACAAATCATAACAATAAATTAATAAATTTAGCCACAATGATAATAAAATAAAGAATAGTCATTATTCTAATGATGTAAAAGAACACAATACATTTCTAGAAGATCATGTGGGAGGTGTTATAAAAACTAGTTAGTTTTATAGCTGCCACATGATAATTTCAGGATTTTGTCTGTTCCTACAGGGAGTCTGATACTGGAGATGAAGATGAATGGGAGGATATGGAGGAAGAAGAGGATGGAAAAGATGTTGAGAGTGATGAAGAGTATGATTCAGAGGGACCTTTGTCAGATGAAAGTGAAAATAGAGGAGAGATGAAAGAATTTCTTTTCATGCAAGAGGAGACTAAGAGCCGTTTCACAGAATACTCCATGACTTCTTCTGTAATGAGAAGGAATGAACAACTGACCCTTTTGGATGAGAGATTTGAAAAGGTGGAGTGATCTAATGGCAATGATTTTGATAAGCTATTGTTTAAAATTCTATTACACATTTTGTAATTGAATGGCTGGATAGCTCAGTGGTTTAGGTATCTGGCTGCAGAGGTTGGGAGTACAGTTTTCAGGTGAGTTGCACAATCCCAGGAGAAGGGAATGGTAAACCACATCTGAGTCTACGTGGAAAACCCTGATAGGGGTTGCCATAAGTCAGAATTGACTTGATGGCACACTGCAGTGGTGCCCCGCTTGACGACGATAATCCATTCCAGCAACATCGCTGTAGAATGAAATGGTCACCAAGCGAAAGTAAAAAGCCCATTGAAATGCATTGAAAACCACAATGCGTTTCAATGGGTGAAATACCTCATCTTAAAGCGAAGATCCTCCATAGGGCGGCCATTTTCCGGTGCCTGTAAAGCAAGGAAACACAGCGGGGAGCCATTTTGAAACCTGATGATCAGCTGTTTGACTGTCATAAAGCAAAAAATTGGTTCCCGAAGCAGGGAACCAATCGTCGTCAAGCGAACTTTCCCCATCTAAACACCATTTTGCGATCGCAATAGCGATCACAAAATACTCATTGTGAAGCGATTTCATTGTCTACCGGGGTAAGCGTCTAGCAGGGCACCACTGTATCATTATTATTGGTGGTGGTGTTATTGTTATTGTTCAGAAATATTTCTCAGCTTGAACACATTAATTCTGATTTCTTAAGTGAAACACAGAGCAATCTATGTATAAAAGGCAAACCGCGCTCCATTTATTTCTGGCAATTGCAGGGCTGCTGACAGCTAATTACACAAACTATTTAATATAATTTTGAAGTCAGGTTATCGAACCCCAAGGGGCATTATTAGAGATGAGCACAAACTGAACCACAAACCAGAAAAAACGACTAGTTGGGCTGGTTTCTGATTCAGTTCATATACCGGTTCAGAGATCCTGTTTAGCTGAAGCAAAATGAAGTACCAAAATTTTTTCCCTTTGGCGCTTTGTTTTGTTCAGCAGAAGGGATTGCCCACCTACACCCTTCCCGCTGCTCCCCTCGGCTCCCTATCTGGTCCAGCTGCTGCCATTGCCATCCTCAAAGACAGTGGGCCAGGCTTCCCTTCCAGGAGCTCGGCCTGCTGTCTCTGTGCATGTGCCTGCTTACCAAATGGTAGACAGGTTCATGCTCAGGAGCAGCCAGCCAGCTTCTGAAAAATTGACTTGTTGCCTCTGTACATGTGCCTGCCACCCAACTGACAGATAGGCACGTGCTCAGAAGCAGCTGGCTAGCTCCTGGAAGCCAGGCCTGCTGCCTCTGTGGACGTGCCCACCTATCAGCTGGGCAGCAGGCCCAGCTTCCAGGAGCCAACTGGCTGCTTCTGGAAGGTAGCAGGGTAGCAGCCACAACCTATAATGAACTACTTTTCTGGTTTGTTCCCATCTCTAGCCATGACCCATCCTGAACTGTAGATGTTTTCCTTGTTTTATGCCAGTGAAGTAGTAGATAAGTTTGTTTTAAATTAGCTTTCCTTTGTCAGTGAAAAATGACAAAGTAGTTTATGAAAAATGAAAGAAGCATATAAGGAGAAAAATAATTAGTGGAATGAAATGTAATTGTTCTTAAAACAGATTTTCTCCAACACCATTCAAATTCCCTACTGTGTTTACATGATGTGTTCCAGAGGTATTAACATTGATAATTGTATTTTTTTTCCATATCTAGTTCTTTGAGCAATTTGATGATGATGAAATTGGAGCATTGGATAATGCTGAATTAGAAGGTTTCATTCAAAGTGACAGTACTCGGTTACAGGAAGTCTTGAATGAGTACTACAGAGAGAAAGCCAAGAAGTATGTAGAATATTTAAATAATATGGTTGATTTGTTTAGGGAATGTCTGCTTTGCCCAACATATTTTCAGGGAATTTTACAATGACGGCTGATGTCATGTTGAGCAGAGCTACCTTTGCAGTGGGAATGATGTCAACAGCAGCTGCAGATTGCCACTGATTAAAAGGTTTCCGTTTGTGATTTTGGGGGACGTCCACAGCTCATATACAGTGCAATTGTCATGTTCCCAACAAGATTTTGGCTGATGTAAAACATCGAAAATAGTGGTCGTATAGACCAGATGGGCAGGGTACAAACAAACAAACAAACAAATAAATAAATGGTAATTTAATGGTGGTATTAAGAAGGTAGCAACATAGGCAAAGTTCTAGAATTGGTTATCATGACCAGCAGTGATGACCCACTAGACAGCTTAAGCACACAACTTTCTCTTTTCTAAAGGAGATGTATTTTTGGTTTGCTGATTTAGTGTTTAGAAATCAGGTATTTCTTCACCTCTCTTTATTTACTGGTGACTTTCCAAAGATGACCTAAGAATAATTTTGTTTTGAATCCTGTGCTATGAAAAGGAGCATATTCATTCCTCTTAGTTGTAGTGTGCCTCTTCCATGTAGAAGACTTGATTACACTCTTTACCTGGCCACTATTGCTGGTGAATGTGGGTAAATGTGTGAATATTCAAAGAAAGCAATATTCTTTAAACACACACTTGATAAAATAGTTGGCTTGCCATTCATTCAATCCATGGATTATATATTATTCAATCAAGAGCTAAGTAGAGTAAACAACACCTGTCCCTGGTAGCAGTAGGCTCAACACATGCTGCCACTATTTTTTAGAGTCACCGTTTCACAGTTCATCACAGTATAGTTGTGAAGTATGTGTTCTGAATAGGGAAGAGGCCATGGAACTTAGGCTGTTGCGCTAAGTAACTGTGGCGTTTACCCTGTGGTCCCTGTTTGTTTCACCAAACACAGAGCTCACATGAGTATCCCAACTCGTCCTTTACCACGCTGCCACCAAGTTGATCTCTTTTTCAACCTATATTTCCTATGAAAGACTGAGGTCCATTCAGTACTGAACTTTTAAACAGAAATAGGTTTATTGATTACAAGTTGTTTTAGGAATAGTTCTTAAGCACATTCTTAAAGTTACACAAAGCTTCAGTATATTACTTTAACCTCTTCTATCTTAATTAATACAGGTCACACTCTGACTAATCACACCTTAAACACTCTTTCTACCTCAAACCCCCAAACTCTCTCAAAACTCTTTTCTGTGACTGAACTAACTAGACTCTTGACTCACCCCTCCCTTCTAGTTTCTCTGGCTCTGCTTCCCAGCAGCTCTCATTGGTACATGCCAATAATCTTCTGCCTGAGCCAAAGCAGGGTGATTGCTACAGTAACCGATTACAAGGAGATGAGGGAATGTTTCTAACTAGATAACTATCTTCTATACCCTAAAACCAAACCTCATACCTTTAGATCTTTGCATGGAATTAAGTTGCGCTTTGCAGGCATGAAGTATAAGAGCCTGTATTAGATATGTTATGGAATTGGATGGTGCTGCATATGCTTAGTAAGAAAATGGCCCACTTAGGAAGCACTCCATCTGGCCCTATCCATGTCACTCGTCCCCTTTTCTACACCTAGCCTCACTCGTTGCTGGAATATGACCCCAGAGGACCTTCTCAAACTGGAATTTTTCTCGTGAGGTTAAGAAGTGTTCAATACCACCAGTGTTTTATGGGATGCTGGTCCATAAGGTAGAGCTAAAGGCAGCTTTTAAAGCGTAATTTAAAATCAATTGTTATATGCCTTCATAATTCATTAACTTTCTCCTAAAGCTGTGTAAAACTCAATGAACTTGAAATCAAAGAAGATTCAGAGCTGCTCCAAAATGAAGAAGATGAGAAAGAAGAAACTATAACTTTAGTTATTGAAGAACCTAAGGAAAAGTGGGACTGTGAATCAATTCTAAGTGAGTTCCAGTGTTATATGTTTTTCACAGTGGCTAAAAAAAGGCAGGAATAATTAAAATACTCTTAATTAAATAAAAGGTTACCTTTTTTAACCAGTTGTTGCTTTTTAAATTTCTTTAGCACATAATTACTGCTTGTGGATTTAATATGCCTAATATCTCACTAACAAAGAGTTATGAGTCTTATACTGTAAGTGTGGCAAGATATTAATTTCTTGATTAATTAACCTGTGTCTCTTTTTAAGGTACCTATTCAAACTTGTACAATCACCCAAAAGTTATTGAGGTTCCACAAAAGGTGAGCGTTTTCATTCCATACATACTTTAATTATTCTGGCCCACAGTGAATGGAACTCAAATTGCTATTATAGGGCCTACCAAGGATTTGGGTTTAGTGGAATTCTGGACTTCAGAGAAAGATAAAAGAACAAGTACTCACACTGTCATAAACTGGTCTTGAAAAGGTGGAAGAGTGCCCAGAGGGTTATCCATGGGCTGCATGAACTGCTGGATGGCTTGGTGGTTCCCAACCTTTTTGGAACGGTAGGGTGTGGTGGGGAACTGTTCGGAAGTGCTGGGGGGTTCCGTGTGTGGGAACACCACCTGCGTTCACGGGTGGGCATGGCATGCTCATGCACATGCACAGATTGGCATGGTGCGCTTGTGGGTGAGGACATGCACGTAAGCGTGCCATGCCCATCCATAAATGCACTCGCTCACCCCGTGCATGCACACGAGAGTGCTACGGCCACCATGCGGGGGGCGGGAGATCTGTCTCCACGGCGAAGCCCACGGACCGGCACCGGGCCGTGGACCGGGGGTTGTGGACCCCTGGTCTAGGTATCTGATTGTGGAACCAGACATTGGGAGTTTGATTTCCCACTGTGCCTCCTTGAGAGGGGCTCGGCTTGATGATCATAGTCTTTTTCAGCAGTTCTAATGTCATTATTATCATTAGCACCATCTTGTAGATTTTTTAAAATTACTTTATGGGGGGGTAGTTTTGGGATAGGTTGTTATGTGCAGGGAAAGTAGTTTCCTGGAAGTGCTTTCCAAAAAATGTTGCTAAAAACCTTAGCATTTAAGAGGTTTTCAAAAAGCCTGGTTACTTCATGAGGCCGGTGCAAGAAGAAAGGTCCCAGTAAATATTTTATGGCCATTTAAAATAATTAGTAGTCCTTTACTGTGGATTTGAATATAATAAATCTGGGTGTGATTCATTGTTGACTTACTGGATGATACTGCATGAATTTACTGGAGAAAAAGATTTGTGTAGATGTGGGGTTACTCGTGTTTATATTAGAGTGGGACTCGCTAATATTGTTAGCTTATAGTATTTTTCTTCAAAATAGGTTTATTTTTAATGTTCGTATGTGGGGGTTTTTTCAGCCTAAACCAATCAAAGTATCTAAGAAGACAGGAATCCCTCTGGATGTCTTGCCTCAAAGAGGACCTACAGCCAAGCAAGCTGAACGTATGCAAATGATTAATGACTGTGATCTGCCAAGAATATCCACACAACCCAGATGTAAAGATGAGAGTAAAGAGGACCGGAAGACTAGAAAGCAAGCTATTAAAGAAGAACGAAAGGTAATTTGTTATTTTAATTTTTTGGTAATAAGTATGTTTTTACTTTCACTGCAAGTTTACTTAATTAATTTTGATTAAGGCAGAGTAAGTTTTGTTTTTAATATGAAGCAGAATTAATTATGTCATAACTCCTAAACATGAACCAAAATAATACCAATATTATTGTTTGAGACTTACCCCCGGTCTGCAGCCCGGTGCCAGTCTGTGGCCTTGGCCAGACTGAGCCGCGGAGATCTTCTCCCCCCCCCCCCCACAGCTCCTTCATGCATGCACGGAAGTGCCCTGCAAGCACCGCCCGCCCCATTATGCATATACATGAGTGTGTGTACATGCTGCGCAAGCGCCCCCACCCCTTCGCACATGTGTATGAGTGCCCGCGTGAGTGAGCACCACCTCTTCGTGCATGGTCTGTGGAGTCAAAAAGGTTGGTGACCACTGCTTTATACTACACTGGACCTTTTTTTCCTTTACCCTTACTTTATCTATTGCTCTTTAGTACGCATGAAATGCAAGTAAATAATTACAGGTAAACAACAGTTACAAATAAAATGAAAATAAATAAAATTGAAATAATTTGTCTGTGTAGGAACGCAGGATAGAGAAGAAAGCAAACAAATTGGCCTTCAAGCAAGAGAAGACAAGGCAAGAGAAAGAACTTCTCAACTTAAAACAGAATATTCAAGGACTAAAGTTATCATAAGAAGAGTTGTTTCACATTGGGGACACTCAACAACTTTATTTTTGCCTATACATTTGGAAAGGACACAAACATTTAAATTAGCAGCAGTGATTGTCAAAATGTGTATCTATTCAATTAGAAGCCTCTGCTTAAATGTAAATTTTCAATTATACTTAAATAAAACTACTGTATCATTTTTGTCATATGGACATTATGCTGTGTATTTATTAACTTGATTTGGGCAAATTTATCAGCTACCATAAAATCTCTTTTTGAAGTTCTATTATCTCCGTTGACTATACCTCTCAAACTGGTGAAGCCTGATGTAGCATTTATGTTAATACTTCTGTATCGGTCTACATAAAAATAGTGTTTGTCATGCTTACGTGACAGAGGTTTTTTGATAAAGTTACTGCTCCAAAAGCTCATTATTTCAGAATTAATCTTTGGCATCTCATGCCAAAGATTTGATTCAGATGCATTGGAACTATTCTGTAGTATCAGACCAAGGGTCCCAGATAGTGTTACTTCTAAAATGAGCAAGCTAGGTACTTCTGGAAAGCTCTTAAAAGGATATTTATTTTTACATTGTTTTACTTTTGTGTCACCTTATTACTAATCTCATTCAAGGTAGCTAACAATATTATGAAAACAACCTGAACAGTAAACCTACAGCAGTCATCAGGAAAGGATAAGGGCTTTACGAAGGAAGAGCATATTTCTCCTTGGGCCAGCATTTGTAATACCTCTGAATGTAGGAATTTTGTGTAGTGAATGTACTTTAGACCTTTCCTTGACCCATCCTGGATTTTTAAATCCCTAAATCTCTCTTGAACTAGTAGTCTTCACCATATCAGACATGACACCATGAGTGCGCTGTTCACCCTCAGTTTATTGAATACAAAATGTTTTACTTACTTACTTACTTACTTACTTACTTACTTACTTACTTACTTACTTACTTACTTACTTACTTACTTACTTACTTACTTACTTACT